CGGCGGTAAGATATTTTCAAAAATAGATCTTAGGCAGGCTTATCTACAAATCCCAGTACAAGAGAGTACGAAAATCCTTTGCATTAATACGCACAAAGGGTTGTACAAATTCAACAGACTACCATTCGGAGTAAACGTTGCACCAGCAATTTTTCAGCAAACGATGGACACAATGCTCACGGGCCAAATTTTCTGGATGATATTCTAATTAAGAGACAAAAATACTAACTCCCCCCAAAAAGGAATCTAAGGAGGGGGTGTTATGAGGTCCTCCCCTTTTTCATATAAGTGGACTCGACCAGAGTGTTACTTGGACTGCTGCCGTTAAATACCCAGAGTCAGTCAGAATAGAGAGAGTGAGAGAAGACAGAGATTGTGATTGTGATTGAGTTGGAGGTAGAGTAATAGTGTGAGGTAACCGCTTGTAGAAGTCAGTTACAAGCACGTAGACTCTAAGGAAGTCCTACTTCGAGACTGTATATATATATAATATTATTATTGCTACTAACTGCGTTCCTGGATTTACTAACAGTATTACACATTGTATTATTGTGTAAATACATTTATTTGTTATATTTAATTCCTGCGTTTGTCAGTCATTGGAGACCGAATTTCATTTCGGAATCCACAACACATGTATACAAAGTTTCATCAATATTGGTTCACGGGTTTAGGCGGCAATTCAGACAGACAGATATTGCCATTTATATATATAGATGATGTCTAATTTAACGGTTGTTTTTTAGATATACTTATTTTGGAGGAAGCTTTTGTGTGGACACAAACGAGAGACGCTGCGAATTTTAAATCTAAAAAATATTTTTTATGTGTTTTTGGTATATAATCTAGCCAATTGCATTTAGATTCTTTTTGTTTTGTTTCCATCACTTTCATTATTAAATATCCCACATTGTGATATCTACCAAGAATAGTGAAACATTGTAAGAACCAGGACGCATATTTCCTAAATATTATCCTCAGTGAATTGTTTTCTCTTTTAATTAGATTAACAATTTTATATCAAAAGTGTAGCCAGTCTCATTACAGTGAGAAACTAATGCATTTAATGTGTTGTTTTGTAAATTATCCCCTTTGTGTTCATATAATATTTAGTTAAATTTCTTGAGGGTTATCCGATCTATTGTTTGTGACAATCATCACAGGTAATAGAGTAAATTCCTCTCTCAAGTTTTAGCTTATTGATTTGTTTTGTATTGATTAAGTCTTTTAATGTTTTAGACGCATTTGCGTCAAGTTTTATGTTGTTTAGAGAAATTCTTTTCAATTATAGTTTTGATAGTTAGTTTTATGAGACGTTTGTTTCTCATTGAATATAAAATAATTAGATTATTGGAACAACAACAATAATAATACGAAGAAAAATAAAGCGAAGAAAATAAGGGAAGTGATGATTATTCACTTAGTTCTTTTATATTGTTATACTGCATGTTTATTACTTTTAAACAATAAACCATAATAAATAGTGATCATAACAAATAAATAAAATATGTATATATAAATAATAATAATAAATATAATAATCATGGAGTGATAAAAAACAATATCTATTCACTGCAATTGATAACGCTTTCCCATCTTTTATGCTGTAATAAAAACAATTTATTACCCCTACATCTATCACTATTACATAAAAAAAAAACCCACTATTAATATATTTCAATAAAAATATATATTATGTGTGTTCATGTCGATCAATTAATATGCATTAGACAAAAAGCCAAGAGGATCACTAGGGAGAAAAGAAGAATCTTGGCCGTAGATGAATTTAGTAGAAAATTTCTCACTGTATCTATAGCAAAACTATATACAGGCATTTTATGGTATTTATAAACAATAAGAATATACAATGACCTTAAAAAATCTAAAAGAAAGCAACAAAATTAGACATGACTTGTTAGTGTAGGCGCTTTGTTCCGAACGTTACAGATGAGTCAACAAACTAAAACCAAATCCCAAATGTGTGTGTGTGTGTGTGTGTGTGTGTGTAAAGAGAGAGAGAAGCATAACTGCTTATGCAATAGTAAGTTGATTGTATGTAAGTATCGGCGTTGGTATGCGATATGTTAACAAAAAAGAGACCACACTAACAAAAAAAAAATAAAAATAAAATAACGTTTATATCTTAATCGTCCTTGTATCTAATTAATAAAATAAGACAGTATGTATGTACGTCCACCCACCTTGCTTTAAAAGTATCCTTGCAAAATTTCGGTAAGCGACTTTGTTCATGTGGCTTCCTTAAAGTGATTACACGCGTCTAATAATTGTCTTCATCTTCCAGCAGATAAAAGTAACTTTTGAAAATTTCTCAGCCAGATCAAGATCACCGTATTTGGGCATCTGCTCAGTTTTGGGGAAGTGTTTCGGGTCGCCAAATTTTCAGCACTCTTCATAAGTTTTCAATTAATTTTAAGCAGCGCGTATTGGACGTCATCCAAGATAATCTGTTTGACTTAGTAATGGCCTAACTTTACCAGCAGATACAACTGAGTTTTTTTCTCTTCATAATTTCTCGAGTCTTTCTTCAGCAACAGTGTGCATCAACAATTTCATAGCTATTTTTGATAAAATCACATCTTACATTATGGATATACCAAGTGCTACGATTTACATATTTCGCTTACAGATGAGCAAATTTGTTTCTATCTGATACACAAGTCTAACCTCATAAAACATCAGAATATATGTATACGCTTTATACAGCATGTTTTTAGTATATCATTATAGACTACATAAGGTGACGAAGTGTAATAATAAATTAACGTTTAATATTTTCACTTACTAATATACATACATACATACATACACACACACACACACACACACACATATATATATATATATATATATATATATATATATATATATATATATATATATATATATTGAGTGTATCTACGCAGTAAATATTCATTCAATCAAGTTAAAGACAAGAGACAAGTTATGTCTATGATATTTTAAATACATTTTTGTGTTGGTTTGCGTATCTTGGTGATGAAGAAGAAAAGAAACAGTTCACAATTCATGTTAGTTGCTGTTAAGGTTATGACTATCGAAATGGATTCAATCATTATCAAGAAGGCATAAAATTATGCGAAATTCAAAGTCTGTGTATTGGGATGCATCGTTGGTATGGTTTTGAGTTTTGTAATTTTGAATGTTTCTTTCAACAAAATAATGAATAATTTCAGTTTGAACATCTGTTTTTATCAAGATCATTAGGATTAAAATGTCTTTTACTTTTTTTCATAAATTCAAATGTGAAATTCCTTAAACAAACATTTAATATGTTTGGCAGTAGAATCTGGCTGGGATATAAAAACTTTGCCATAGAAATAACTAGACAAGAATAATATTAATGTCATTATTCATGTTGGATTTTTTCAGATATCTATATATTTTATTGATATGTTGTCTTTTTGTTCATATTGTGGTTTGATATCGGTATTGATCATAGCGTGATCATTTACATGATAACATAGACGTTTTAAAAGTCATATTGTTTATTTTGGAACAGTTTGATTAGTATATGCACAAGTAATTATTTTGACGAGAAATATAGATTTTCAAACAGCGAGTGAAAACATGAACGTAAGTATAGCCATCCGCATTTTTTTTTCCATTTACCATGCGACGTATAGTTTAAGTCTACTGAAAATAATTGGTATTGTACTGGAAGTCTGAGTAAGAAAGCGTGTTTTATTTCTTTTGAAGCGCAACGAAATGCTAGAACACGTAGAATAAATTTATCGGATATAAAATTTTATAATTTCCTTATTATTTCGCTTCTTTCCAGAGTTTCTAGAAATGGACTACAAGTTGTAAATTGGGTTGTGTGTGAAAGTGCAGTGCTACTAAGTTCTGAATTGACTTTCTTCTCATGTTAAGCCAGTTTATTTTAAAATTAAAATCACAGATAGCGAAATTCACAATTTAGCACCACTAGATTTTCAAAAGAAGCTCATAAATTTTTTCCATTTATTTTGTTATAATTATTGCTTAATATTTTAATATTTCTATTTATTTATTTATTGCAGATCGGAAGACAAGTAAACTGATACGAGCGAAACGAATAAAAATTGCCGACGTTAACAGTTCAACGAAGATAATGAAAAAAATCCTATTCATCACAATTAATTAAGGGTTTAAACAAACCTTTCAAGGAAGTATTACCATTTAGTAAGAATAATGAAAGGGCTGAATTATTGAAAAAGTGTTTGTGCCAACGTTGAAGTGAAGAATAAGAAAAATATCAACGTAAAGGACAATTTGCAAACAATGGCTATAATGTATATATATAATTTATATAGATGCAATTATAATTTGTATATATAATTTACATATACAACCTGAAAGTTTCGCTTCCTCATTAATGGACAAAATTAAGATTTCTATTTCAAGATTATCAATCTTTCAACATCATGACATATATGTATAACAAATCTATTATTCTGGACGAACTAAAGAGCACCACACCAACACCATGGAGTGTGTTCTTAGACAATTCCACCGATTATTTTGCAAGCAACTTTTCAAATGACACTTCACAATACTTAAGAACCAGAGGCTTGTTGGTTCGTATTCTACCAATCATCCTGGTTATTTTATACGGAATTGTTTTTGTAACGGGATTGTTAGGCAATTGTTTGGTAATTTATGTTGTGACCATGTTCTCCAAAATGAAAACAGTGACCAATATGTATATTGTAAATCTAGCTGTGGCAGATCTTCTGTTTTTATTGAGCATGCCATTTCTAATGATTACAACCATTCTAGGACATTGGTCATTTGGCTACGGTATGTGTAAACTCTACATGATTCTCGTCTCAATAAACTATTTCACTGGTATCTTTACGCTTACAGTGATGAGCGCTGATCGTTACATGGCCGTATGTCACCCTGTCCAGTCGGTTACTCTCCGTACACCAAAACTCTCTTTCATTCTCTGTGTTATGATTTGGTTGGTTTCCATATTGATCATGATGCCCACGTTCCTCTATTCAAAAACCGTGCGCAGTCCCGGAAGACGAGGAGAAACGTGTACAATATCTTGGCCAAGTAACCAGCTAATACCTGGCAATAAAGCTTTCGTCTGGTACTGTTTTTTTCTGTCGTACACTATACCGATGTCTTTGATATCTTTCTTCTATCTTATGGTAATCATACGACTCAAATCTGTAGGTCCAGCAAACAAATCCAAAGAAAAGAAAAAATCGCACCGTAGAGTCACAAGGATGGTTCTCACCGTTGTTGGAGTCTATATGATGTTGTGGCTTCCCTACTGGGTTTTTCAAGTCACTCTTATTTTAGGAGAACGCCGTCGTCTTGAGTTATGGGAGGTCCTGTTGTTCAATGCCTGTACTGTATTGACGTTTTCAAACAGTATGATGAATCCATTGCTGTATAATTTCTTGAGTGATAATTTCAGGAAGAGTTTTGTAAAGGCTTTTACATGTGTATCTCGCCTTGAAGCTAACAAGTCCCTAGTTGTGGAAAACAGTGTCTATCCAAGAAATAATCAACGCTCAGACCTTCCCCACAGCGAACAGGATGGTGGTGAGAAGTACGAGATGTCGTCATCCCAGACTTGTGGAACGCCAATGAATTTTGACAAGGCAGAAGTAAAAGAAGAAAATGTGGTTGGTGTGCAGGGAACTACGTCAGTGGCCGCCATAATTTCCTTTGAGGAAAATTAAGTTAAAGGAGTTTAACAGAAAAAAAAACATTACGATTAAAGACGATGAGAAGTTGAGAGTGTCAGTCAATAAGACATAAAATATAAAGGCTCGCATAAATCAAAAACAATTTTATTGTGATATATATATATATATATATATATATATATATATATATATATATATGGGATAACGATGTATAAAAATTTATATATCAAGAACAATTATGAACAATGTATGACAAGATAGAAAAAATTTCGTATAACGCGTTTCGTTCGATGAATTCCTAAACGAGGAAACGCGTCACATGATATATTCATTATATTTTATTCATTAGAAGTAATTGCTACAATTTTATATTACTTAATAATATAATAAAAAAGAAGACAATATAAGATGTAAAACTCAACCTTACATGTATAGTCATATAGTGCTGAATTGCATATATCTTTACAGCTTTTATATTTGCATTATTGTTATAAATATATGATTTATACATTTTTATGTACGCGGGTGTCATCATTTTCAATATATTCGTTGGAATTCGACAATTTTAAAATTCATATATTTGTTACTAGTTAAACCATTTAGATCTAGATGTTAGAATATGTTCCAATGTAAATCGCAATTTTCTATTTGAACTATATCCAATTACCCTTGCAGTTGTATAACAACAATTGGTGTGTTTTATATTTATTTCCAGCCAACTCGAACACTTATCCTTAGTAATATAGTTCTGAGTTTTTTAGTATCCCACAGGAAGAAAAGAAGCAACCGTTGAATTATTAAAAATAAAAAATAAAAACTTTTAAATAATCAGAAATCTTCGAAATAAAAAATATTTTTATCACTTGCTGAAATGAAACTATGAATATCAGTTTCGACCAAAATTCACAAAGACACTTTTGCAAGAACCTTTATCCATTAATTTTTATTTATCACCGATTGCCAGTTGGAACATTTCGTTTTATCTGGATTGTATAATTCCTTAAAATAGACACAATATCTGATCATTATAATTATGGATTCAGTTCGAAAATTATTCTAAATTATTTTTAACATTGATATATCGAGAAGTTTTGAAATTTTCCTGAATCAAGAAGATATCTTTTTTATATTAATATTCACTTATTACAAGGCTAAAGTGCTACTCAAGGTAGAGAGTATAGACGAAAGATTAGTCAAGAAGTGCAGTCCATGAGGTTATTTCGGAAATATAATGGTTAACCCTGGACTTAAAGAGGTCAAGATTATAGTGATCGAGAAAACTTTCTGTCAGGAATCTGTTTCATAAAGCATCAGGTCTTGGAAAGATGCTCTCCGAGTGGAACTTACTTCTTATTAATGGAATACTAAGGGAATTAAGGTGATTAATTCTTGTGTGCGTGGCATAACGGGTTCCAGCTGCAAAGTTTAAGGCTGTGGTAATCAAGCAATGTAGTTAGTCAGAATACTTGTCATGGAAATAGCGATAGAGTGGTGAGAGGCTTGCGTCGTTACGAAAGGGTTTGTATGGTGCATAATAATTCATCACTCACAAGACAGCATAGACGCCTTTGAACTCTATCAAGGTAGGTAAACGAGGACTGTTGGACAGCTTCAGTCCAGATATGACAGCAACATTAAATTTCTGATCTGATTTAGCTCGTACAGATAGAGTATAGCAGTGGGATCGGTACAATGAACCGGCCATTTTCTCATCATATCTAGTAATATATCATATATCTGTTCCATTTGAGGTCTGATGTAGCCGTTCAATGCTCTCCTTGAGAAAACGCCCAGTCATCGTAATAGGCAAATACTCGGGGTCTACTCGCTGATGGTTGAGCCTTACTAATTTGATTCTGGACGTATTGGATATTATAATCCTTCCTCTATTGAGCCACTAGGGCTAGGCCAGAGGAGACATCAAGTGGTCATCCAGATTTTTGGAGGTGCACCTATAAACTGTTGTATCATCTGCATAGATATTCACTAAAGTTTGGGATATGTTCTTAGGTAGATCATTAATATAGAGTGGAAAAAAGAGTAGGACCGAGGAAAGAATCTTGAGGAACGCCAGAATTGATTTCATGTGTTTCCGATGACTGGCTGTTAACATTTACTTTCAAGGACCTACTTGTAAGGAATGACTTGATAATTGAGAAAACCCTTTTAGAGATTCCATAGCTGGAGTCTTTATGTAGTATCATCCGATGAAATTATTGTTGAGTGCCTCGCTGATTCTGTGAGTAATGATCAGCTGTGGATCTAGCAGAGGGAAATCCATACACAATATATAAGCTTTGCTGTTTAGATCTTATATTTTTCGACATTGGTTATGCTGTTTATTTTCATTTGAAAAAAAGAAGGAATTTTCGCTCTTATTATGTTATGACAATTTAAATACAACGAAAAGCTGTAATTTTTCTTTTAACTTGTTTTATCATTATTAATATTGGGAAACATTTTTGGGAATATTGTTGTTAAATTTCGATGCAGATAATATTAAACCAACCAAGAGAAATGCCATCTCAGATATATAGTTGCAGAGAAAACTAATCAAATATCTTAAGTTAAAATCAAATTTTTGGCAAGTTTCCAAAGAGCTTGAAGAATATCTATCTATCTATCTATCTATCTATCTATCTATCTATCTATCTATCTATCTATCTATGGATGGATCGATCGTTAGATAGATAGATAGATAGATAGTATCTAAAAATATACCAAATAATTGAGAATAAATTATGATATAAAATGACTAAAATGTTAAATTATCAGTATATTTTCAACAAATTGTAAATGTTTCAAGAGCAAAACAGAAGAAGGTTAGCCAGTGGAAATGCCCCCAGTTTTCAAGACGACTTCAAAAGCGATTGCATGCCTGAATCAGGTGACCTTCGTTCTCGTTATGGTTCGTCTGTTGAATGGTTTGGGTCAAATGGACTATTTGGAATGGAGTAGAGTCCCAATGAAACATGCTGATCATGGGCTTGACACTATGTTAGCTACCTCGCTGTCGGTACGACTCTTGGGCCAGGTGGTAAGAAATTAGACAGCATGACATGGGCCTCATTTAAAAAAAACGTGAGCCTAGTGTACACCACCTTATATTCTACGCAATCTTCAAAACGTTTAATATCTCAGAGACTCTGCGATTATATTATTGTCTCTGTGTACCTTTTCATTTCCTGCATCAGATTAGAAGTTGCTATGCTCTCGATTTGTCAGAAATAGAAATGTATATGCTAAAATTGACGCATGCCACGTAACATTTCTAGATGCTAGTGATGCATTCTCAAATACCTGTTGAACTTTGTATATTAAACACAGAAACACGCACGCACACACACACACACACACACACACACACACACACACACACACACATATTGGAGTTTGTGTATGTTTACATGGTATGCTTTTTACTGCACATAAAAAAAGGTGAAGTTCTTACAAAGTCATTTGTTAATGATTCAACGATACATACATACATACATATATATATATATATATATATATATATATATATATATATATATATATATATATATATATATATATATATGTGTGTGTGTGTGTCTGTTTGTATTTATGTATGTGTGTGTACTATCTTCAATGTTTTGTGCTTTCAGAGTGGGAGGAAATTCATATAATTTACTAATATAATATTCTTGCTTTATTCTTTTTTATTTAAAATTGTTTTTGCCATGTTTTTGAAAGAAAATTGTTTTAAGAAATTTAAATATATTGAGACTTCAAACGCAATATCTCTAAAATAAAATATTTTTCTTAATTTATTGTGAACCCTCTATGTGAATATGCGAAAAAAAAAAAAAAATAAAAATGACTATACCTATTTAATATGACTTTGATTCTATGGAAGTCCTTCCTGTAAAATATTCGCCTTCTGAACGAAGAGATTTTTTGAAAATTAAATAAATTTGTTTGATCAAATAAAATATTAACAGTTGAATATAAAAAGAATGGTTTTGACATAAATAAGAGAAATTAAGGAATTATGATGCACACATGGGATAGTTGTACCATCTTTATGGACATAGAGTGATACAACATGATTGAACGTTTAGAAAACAAATCCTTGCTTGGAGAAATTATTGATGTGATCCAGATGACAGCATAACTGAAATCAGCTCGAATACTTAGAAGAATATCGATTGAGAAAATTTGAATGTCACTTGATCTCCATAGAAAGCCATGATGGACACGATGGATATGAAAAAATAACGAATAAATAGATCAGAAGATCTAAACAAAATGGGTATCCTAAAAATGTAATTGTTTTTCATTGTTAGAATTAACTGCATAAAAGCATCACTTTTCATTGTATTAAGATGGCATTCGCGTTAATGACGTTACAAAATACCAAAAATAGCGTATTATTGTTTACGATCCTGGAACAATAATTTCATAGCTTCGCAGGGCGTTAGCTGAATTATAAGAACATTTCACAGTTAGACATATGTGTGAATTATATCCACCTCTGAATTTAGGACATTGACAATGAAGGAGGTCATTTTGAAAAATATTTGTATGAAATAAAAGCGTTCGTTCTGCATCTGGATATAGATTTATTGATATATCTACGTAATGATACTAACATTGAAGATATGCACTGAAAAGCATCGTCACTTTTATTTTGAATGTCTCTCCCCAACTAAAAAGGTACTGTAATCAAATGTGTCGAAAGGTTCCTTTTATCTATTTATATTTTTTATATTTTTATTTATTTATTTTTTTTAACTCTCCTTCTCTTCTAGAAAACCAACTGATTGAAATCAAAACAAGATATCACATGAAATAATCAATATTATAAAATGCGTGAGATAGCAGACGACCTAAAATATTCAAATAAACTGTTAATTACTTTAGTGTGCGAATTCCACGTAAATTTGTCAAAAACTTACTTGGCAGTATTTAAATATTAAATTTAAAAAAACTAAGTGATTGATATTGTATAGCAAGGAAAAAGAAGCATTACTAATGTAACAAAGGCCAGTCTTGTTCAAAACAAAATGATGTTGCGAATATTATGGGATTGGGAGGCTGTCATCTACTATGAGAAGGAAACAATTAATTTGAACTGACTACGCAAGGTAAAATCAAAGCTGCATTTTGACGAAACATGTTCAATATTAGTTAATAGAAAGTGAGAAATATTCCATTGGGATAGCGCTTGGCTGTATGTTTCTTTGATGAGCAGACCGAGTTGTCATTCATATTAAAACTTACGATTATTGTTCATTCCAATCTTGATAGAACTGTCTCAATGAAAAAATTCTTTAAGACCGAAAAGAGATAGTTAAAAAATAGGGGGGGGGATTAATAGTTTACTTGAAGATGATTAAAGATAGTTCATAAAATGTGAAAATATATTGCTCAATGTTTTTTAATTTAAAAAATATCACTTTTTAACATTTTCACTCAATGTACTTCACAAACAATTTGTCCATCCATAATAAATTTCATCATGAAAGTCTTGGAAATTAGGTTCCAGAGGGTAGTAATTTAATAATAATATTAATAATAATAATAATAATAATAATAACAACAACAACAACAACAACAACAGCAATAATAATAACAGTAATAATAATATATTTCTTAAAAACATATTTGATATTAATGACAAGACGTTACATGGGAAATACCTAAAAAGAACGTACAAACAGGTGTGGACCAACAGAAAACACATCAGTGCCTGAGGAGCACCGGGTTGAAAGCTGAAACAGAAGGTCTAATTATTGAAGCTCAGGACCAATACCTCGCAACCAGATCCTATTACTGTCACATAATCAAGGATGGAACTAAACCGAAATGCAGGATCTGCGGAAGATATGATGAAAATGTCGACCATATTATCTCAGAATGTCCGGGACTAGCAAAAATGAATATACCCACAGACATAAAAAAAAGCTATATGTGCACTGGAAGATATGCAAGAATCATAAAAACGGAACGACTGAGTGATGCTACCAGACACAATTACCTAAAATAACGAGGTAACTGTGCTCTGGGACATGCCAATTCAAACTGACAGGGAAATAAAAGCCAACAGACCTGATATTATCATAAAAGACAATTAATTCAGGAAGTGTATAGCAGTACCATCTGAGAAAAACACTTCCATGAAATTTGTCGAGAAATTGTCCAAAATACAAGGACCTGGAGATCGAGATGTGGGGAATGAAGACTGAGACTGTATCGATAATAATCGGAACTCTGGGCCTCGTGTGCAACTTGGATCTTGATGTTACCTGGGTAGCATCAAAATCCAAGTTACCCAGATGATCGCCCTACTAGAAACATCCCATATACCAAGAAAAGTGCTATCAATTAAATGACAATTCTCCTATAGGGCCTAAGTACCATAGTTTGGACTCGGCTCTACAGGATAAAAAGCAGGAAACATAACATACAAATAAAATAATAATAATAATAATAATAATAATAATAATAATAATAATAATAATAATAATGACTCTGAGTTGAAGGATCACTTCAATACTGAAAACTGTTTCGGTGATGATATCGGTATGAATTTCGGAATAGATAGATGTGCAAAATTTCCTTCAAGAAAGGAAGAATTACAATTCTTATTGGCATGGGAGTCCCGGTATACTGTAATGTATATTGGAAGATATTTAAAAAAAAACTATCAAAATATAAGGACCTTAAAAGTGGCGCATAAGGACATCAACAATTCCAGTTGTAGTTGGCGTCTCGGATTAATTGGAAATGTTTCCGATAGACTAATTAAAGGGATGATATCAAACTCTTTGCCAAAGACGACAATGAGTTGTTATCCTCAATACTGTAAAATGTTTGGGTGATTGACATCGGTATGGATTTCGGATTAGATAAATGTGCAAAAGTAACATTCAATTACAGAAACACACTCAATAGATCTAGATTTTATAACAAAGATTAGTGAACTGGAACAAGAAAAACATATAAATACTTAGGAGTTATAGCGAAGGAGATTGAATACAGCATAGCCAAATGAAGGGGAAAATAAGAAAAGAATACTATAGGCGTGTGCGTACGAATTGAATTCGCAAAACAGATTATCAGCTATAAATACTTTGGTTGTCCCTGTGGTGCAATACAATTTCAATATCCTTAACTGGACGTAAGCTGGCATTAAGCGAATGTATGTCAAAAAGAAAAAAATAGCTTCTCACTTATTATCACATGTATCATCCTAAGGTTGATGTTAGTCGTCTGTATGTGCTCAGATACGAAGGAAGCAGAGGATTAGTTCCATTATATCTGTCTTACAAAATCATAACAATCGGTCTTCAAACATACAGAAGACTGGATGATGATCTGTGTCAAATAACATGAAAGAAATGAGAAACTTTATTCAATATTAAAGGAAGCCAAAAAATTAAAAGGGGAAGTTCAAGCGGTTGAAGAAGTGCAAATAAACCATAATACACATACTGAAGCGGCAAAGAAGCTATAAAAGAAAGCAAAAGCAAATGCAATGTACCAAATGCAGAAACGGTGGCAATAATTCACTTCATAGTCAATACACTTCCTGTAACAAATAAGCTGATGTAGAGAAACCCCGTAACCATCAGTTTTATTCTTGCTGTACAGACAATTGCTTGCTAACTAGAAATTACCAAGTACATATACTGAAAAATTGTGTTGACCCCAAATGCAGATTCTGTGATAAATACCCAAACACAGTTGACCATCTGGTATCAGCTTGTTAGCTTCAAATGAATATAAAGCTCGGCATGATAGAACAAGCCAATACCTGCACTGAAAAATATGTCACTTTTACAAGAATGAAACTGCAAGTATGGCCATCAGCCAAACCCGGTTACAGAGTTAGGACCTGTAACCATTTTAATGGGACTTTACAATACGCACAGACAGTTCAATCAAAGCTAATCACCCAGACATCGTTATCAAAGACCGCAAGAACAGTATGTGCTTTCTTACTGATATAGCAGTCCCTGAAGATTGTAATGTATCTTGGAAGGTCTTCAAAAACTTTCAAAATACAAGACTCTTAAAATAGAAATCTCAGAAATGAGACATCAATAATTCTAGTTATAGTCGGAGCCCTCTGATTGTTCGGAAAATGTTCCGATAAATTGGTTGAAGGGATTCTTGGTAGCTCATATCTTAAAGAATTACCAAAAATTGTACTCACGAGTACAAATAATGCATTAGGAAGAGCTTTAGCTATGTAAAATGTGTATGATCCTTTTCTTCTTTTTTACAAAATGGATAATGGAAAAAGTCATGAAGACATTTCTGACCTTAGTTGGGACCCGGAATGAAATGTGCATACAGCACAAATCAAATAATAATATTTCTGAGATACATAGCATCCTCCTCAATATGCTGGTCGACTTCTATGGGGTCAGTTGGTAGAAAGATACGCCAAATCCATTACATTCTCCTCAATGTGTCATTTTTTCCTGTGTTATTTTTTATTCATGCCGCTCCAAGGGGTTATCGAATTTTAGAAAATATGCAAAAACTATTGAGAACAAAGAAAAATAAAAGAATAAGAATCATGAAAACAGTAGATAAAAATTGATATTACATTTACATTTTTGAAGATCAGAGAAGCAAGAAACCGGAAGAAAGTCATGATGCCATATCAGGATCACTATTTGCAGATTCTTCTTTGTATTTTATCAAGAATCTCTAAATATATAGCAGGAGTACCAGACCAAATGTGGCAGCAATACTGAAAGCAAAGACGAATGGTATACTTATAAGATAGATTCTGACAAGAAAACTTGTATAGAACATTACAGTTTCTTTTTCGAGCTGCAAACCTAGCAATTGATTCAATATAACTTTTCCGTCTCATGTCAGTAGAAAAGAAAGATATCTTTGAGGTAAGTGGCTAACAAGATACATCAAGACCATATGCTACTCAATATTCTGGTAACCTACTCTGAGTTAGAAAGAAAAAAACTTCAAATCTATAACATCCTCTTCAATATTCATAATCCAATCCATAATAGCTTCCTCAATATTCTGGTAGCTTCTTTTATGTCACAATCTCCTCCTTATTTCTCTAGTCGGTTTACAAGCTAATTTATCTTAATTTCCAACAATCTTTGTAATTCGCCTATTTTGATATTATATATATATATATATATATATATATATATATATATATATATATATATATATATATATATATGTGTGTGTGTGTGTGTGTGTGTGTGTGTGTGTGTTTGTGTGTGTGTGTGTGTGTTCATTGAATATAACTAACAAGGAAAATTTAATTATTTTTTATTTAATTTTTTACAGCATGCTTACATGTTTTCGTTTGGCGGGTATAAGGGTGTGCAAAAATTATCTGAATCGTTTATTGTTTCAAACGCTTTCGGCCACTTCTTTACCCATTTTCAAGCAGTTTGTTTTTGGGTGTTGTGAATTTCTCGTCATGTTTGACTGTATAAAATACGTTTTGTGTTGTTTTGAATACTAAGAGCGTTTATTCTGAGCTTCGCATGTTAAGCACGACTGGAATTCAAGTGGGCGCCTTTCTATTGTTTTTAAAAAATCTTTTAACAGCCCATTATCACAGGTGAGGTTGATAGTCGGAGCGAGACGTTTCACATACAGGGCCTCTCTCATAGGTAAATGCATCCCGTAATTTGATTTATACTGAATTTTTGTTTTTTCGACCAAGACTTTCCTTAAGGCATTTTGTAAATCGCGAGGAGCTAGATATTTTTTATCACGCTTTGATCTGAAAGTGAAATGTCTTCTGAAGGAAGTGAGTTTATTTCCAATATAGGTAAGTGATCTATGAGAAGAAAAATACTCTTGTGCTGTGCAGTACTTATATTTTTTCTGCGAAATAACATCATATCTAAAGAAGCGATGATATAGTTAATCCATTTCACTGCTCAATACAATAGTATGGTTTTGTCAAACATCTTTTATAAAAATTCTGCTGAATTTCTACCCATATATATACCGTTTTAAAATATTTTAGGGACAATTTCATTAATTCTCTTATGAGCCACATTTTGTTTCTTCATAATAGGTTTCAGCGATTCTGCCATAATGTGAAATTCGAGTTTTGTGCTGATACATCTACCAATGGTTCAATTTATTTTGTTTGGCTCCTGAGTTCTTATTGTTCAATATTATTGTCGTGTTCATTTTTTGCATTGCTTTCATTTACAGGTTACATCTAGCCAACTATAAAACGATGAGACCCAGCTGCCAATTTAGTACTTGCAGTAATTATTTATATTTTCAATTTTGTCACTCCAACTTTTACAGATTTTGTAGGTTTTTCAATTACTTTTGGGGTAGCATTGCGAAATTTATGGAATTCTGAAGTTTCTCTAATACCAAAGAAGAATTCTTGCTATGTTCCTAAAGTTCTAGTAGACACACAACTCTTTATATTATTACCAAATTCATGATTTTGGCCTGCATTACAAAGAATGTTAGTTGACAAAAGAACGTCATGAATATCTTATCGAAAAACATGCAATAAATCAAAGCCAGAGGTGTGCAGAGAGAAAGTGACAAACTCCATATAAACCATTTTCCTTCCAGGCCAGACAGACGATAATACAATGCCTAAAATAACATTTATCAAATTATTACTATTCATGATAGAATAATTTTCCTGACGAAAGATTGTCAACAAAGAAAGCGTAACAATTCTTTACTCCTGTGTATCTTTAAATTTTACCATTTGTTTCCAGTAAACCCATTATTAGTAACACAGTTTGTTGGTTTGTGTTGTGCAACTAGTTTTCCGAAGGGAGAAAATTTACTAGAACCACGGAAATTTTACACCTGAAATTTCTGTGGAATCAGAACGACCCATGAGTGAAATTTCGGTAATATCTTGTTACCCACGAGTTTGCTGATGTTGATTTGCGATGATTGCAAAGATAAAAAAAAAAACAAAAAAAAACACCCCTACGAGACGACACCAACAATACTACGTTTTTCGTAGCGCTAGTACAGGAAAAGACAAATCGAAGAATATGAACAATGTCGGATTATATTTATTGTTAACTTTTTACTGTTATGTATTTTCATTTATAGCAATAAGATGAGTGTTTTTTGTTTTTTTTAAGTAGTAATCTTGATAAAGTTTCTTGGTCATATCCTTGTTATTTACACATGATAAAGTAAATCAATTGCTTATTTACGATAAAGTAAGACAGGTCATTTATTTTCGATAAGGAAAACCAATAATTTATCTATAAAAGAGCAATCCTTGTTGCTTATGTGTGGGGACAACCAGTCTATGAGAAAACAAAAAATAAACTCACTTATCTATGACAAAGCAATCTCTATATAATAAAACATATATAATTTATATATGGCCGGGTAAGCCAATAATTTAATTATCATAAATAAATCAATCTCTTATCTATGTTAAAGCAACTGAATCATTTATTGATCAAAAGAAATTCAACCGTTTACCTTTTGATTAATATCTGTCTATATTTCTGAGAGGAGGTACTGTAATTATTTACATTGTTCGGGCTGGTGTCATAATCTTTGTTGCCATATTCACAACGTTTTGGTCGTTGTACGCACCGGCCTTCTTCAGGTGATTGGAAATTCGAATCGAACCATTTATTTCGTCCACTAAGGTAAAATGTTCTAGTTTCATGTGTCACGCCTCTTCCGGACGTCGCAGTTATCTCCCTTTAACTTAACTCTGCAAGTTTTTGTTCACCACTGAAGTAGTCATTGATAAAGTTGACATTGTTTATCACGATACATTACTCCAAATCATTTATCCATGACAAAGCCATTTTTGTCGTTTACATAAGATAAAGCAATCCACTCTTTTGTCTATGATAAAGCAAAGCAATCGTTTACCTTTGTTAATGCAACGCAATCGTTTATTTATGATAAAAAATCAACCGTGTATCTTTGACAAAGTAATCCAGTAGTTTCTATCTACGATTAAAAAATCGTTTATTTATTTTAAAGCCGTCCAATCGTTTATCTATCATAAAGAAAACCAATCATTTATCCCTAAAAAAGTAACCCAAATCATATTCTATGATAAAGTAATCTATGTTAAAGCAATCCAAACGTTTATCTATGATAATCAAACCAATCCTTTATCAAATCGTTTATCTGTTTGCAACAATCCAATCGTTTTCCTATTATAAAACAATCCAATCTTTAATGTGACTTTGATTATTTTAAAGTAATCCCACTAATTTCTGAGGTTTATCTAGGCTAAAGCAATCAAATCGTTTATCTATGATGAGGCAAAACAACAGTTTATCTATCGAATAAGTTCAAATCCTTTATCTATGACAAAGCAATCTCTGTCGTTTTTCTATGATGAAGCAAACCAATCCTTTATCTATGATAAAGCAATATTTTTCCTACGACGAACAAACCAATCGTATATGTATGTGAAAGTTATGCAAATTGTTTGACAAAAGAAGTCCAAATCATTTATCTATACTAAAGCAATCTATGTCGCTTATTAATGATGAAAGAAACCAATCGTATATCTATTGTTATGGTCCAGGTTAGGACCAAGGAAGAACAACACGAACACAAGAGTAGAAATAACGAAGGTATATTACACGAAATAATAATACAGGATGTGGAAGGTGTTAGTATGACTGTCAGTCTGGTTTGGAGTGAACTACTATCGGCTCGACTCGATTTGACCTTCTCTCTTGAGAGGCGTAGTATACATAGTGTTAGGAAGAGTTCATTCTGTAGTTATACGTAAGGTCCCATGACACCCCCCTCCGAAGCTTTTACCTCGCAGGGGTCTTTAATATTTTTCCCTCTTCGGAATAATCATCAGAGGCTCTGTAAATTTTCATTTTCTGCTTGATTTCCGCTTTTCTGAAATTGCTTGAGGCCTTTGCATATTGAATGTGTCAAATATTGTGTCCATTACTTCCTCCTCTTCCTGAGGTAGACCGTTAGAATCCTCTAACAGCCTCTTTCGGATCTGATGTAAGTGCCTTTTATGCGAGAACTTCGGACACTGAATTATGTAAATCACGTTCCTGATTCGTTTCTCTATTGTACCTGGATCCCAACAGGATGTGTTGTTTTTGAACATTTTAAAAAAAAACTTTCTCCCCTGGGCTAAATTTTCTTTTTGGTACAAACGACGTTGGTGATTGCTTTTTCTGTTTTGGCAGTAATTTGTCGAATACCGATCTAATTTTTCGGGCGAACATTACTTCCGCCGCCGATAATGCCGATGGCGTAGTACTGTTCGGTGTAATTCTATACACTTGCAGGAATTGTTGTAAAACTTTTTCTGTTGGTACGTCATAAGCATTCCTTAGTGCTATTTTTAATGTATCTACAAACCTCTCCGCTTGCCCGTTTAACCTTGGGTGATATGGCGAAGATTTGATGTGTTTCACCTGAAAAGTTTCACAAAATTCTTGAAAATCAGCAGATGAAAATTGTGTCCCATTTTTGGTGACTAAATCAACCACTCCGAAACGAGCAAACAGCCCGTGAAGGCAATTTATTGTCGTCTCAGAAGTAGGTTTTCTACAACGAAATACTTCTGGCCATTTCCTGTAACTGTCTACTACAATCAAGTAGTAGAAACCCTTTAATGGACCTGCGAAATCTACATGGATTTTCGACTACGATCGATCTGTCTTACGAGTGATCGGAGGTGCCTTGGCTGCTAAGGAACATCCCTTGCATTTTTTCCACCATAATATGTATAATATCTTTCGAATTAACTACATGATGATGTTCTAATATCTTCCTCATATCGTAGAGCTGCAATTACGGAATCTTCTAATGGCTCCGTTTTCTTTGGTATTAGTCACGAAAGACCGTCTGCATGCCCGATTTTCTTTGATGAAAGATACTCCAATTTGAAATTATAATTTAATAAAATTGTCCCCCATCTTAGTAATCTATTAGCTGGGTAGACAGGTAGACCTTTCTTTGATCCAAATATTGTTATTAACGGCTTGTGGTCCGTCTGCAAGGTGAAAAATCTACCGTAAATATATCTGTGGAATCTTGTAATCGCAAAAATAATCCCCAGCGCTTATTTTTCGATTTTGTTCGGCTGGTAGTAACGTTCTTGACGCATGCGCGATGGGCTTTAGTGTCCCATCCGGCATTTTATGAAGTATACATGCCCCAACACCATAGGCACTCGCGTCACTCGCGACTATTATTTCCAATTTTGGATCATAATGCGCTAAAAATTAAATCTGCTGTTAGAGTCATAATGATTTTGTGGAAAATTTTCTGACATTCTTATGACCATTCCCAAACTTTCTCCTTTTTCAACATTTCTTTTAGGGTTGCGCGTAATTTGTGCATGTTAGGAATAAATTCTTGGTAATAATTTACTAAGACCAAAAAGCTTTGTAACTCGGCTAAATTTTTTGGAGCCGGCATTTTTTTATTGTCGTGGCTCTTTCTGCGTCTGGTCTTCTTCCTTCTTCGTTAATAATATGGCCCAGACATTTTATCTCCTTCATAAAGAAGTCACATTTATTTTCCTTTACCTTAAAACCGTAATTTTGTATGTGCCTGAAAACGTCTTGAACGTGTTCCCAGTGTTGTTCAATATTTTTGCTATTTAAAATCCCAGAGGTCAAATTTCTGCATCCAGTCAGTTCCAAATATATTTTCCGTATTTTTTCGAACATACATCTTTAATTTCTTGGTCATCCTGTTGAACGTCACATTTGATTTTTCTTCCTGTTACCGACCTGGCTATTTTATCTGTTCTCAACATGGTCGGTTTGTTTAATTTCTTTCACGTCTGTAAGTTAATAATGGTTAAATCTGATCCGGAATCTAATTGTAATCTGATTTTTTTGTTTAACATTGTAACTTGTACGTATTTTCGTATATTTATCCCGTCCGCTTGGTCAGTTCTAGTGACTCTTACTCGGATTTCTTGGTTCTACACTGCGAACTTTTATGTCCCACTTTATTGCACGACAGATAAGTCTTATAGCGATATGGACAATATTTGTACCAATGTAAAGTCCCACAGCGATAGCATGGACTGGGTGGTGGTTTCTTCTGAGGTTTCATTTGACTTTTTGTAGTAAAATAATTGGTTTGGTTTGTTTTTGAGGAGAGATAGCAACATGGAAAACCAAGAACTGTTGGTAAGGAAGAGATCAACTCATCAAGCCCACTTAGCTCAGCTAGCTTGACTTGTAAAGAAAACTGCGTTCCGTTTCGTATACCGTGACCTCCAGCACAGGCTTCGAGAGATTAAGAACGAGTGGTGGACTAAGCTCGTTGAAAAAAATCAGCTGTATGCAGACACTGGAAACATCAGGGACTTCTATGAATCTTTAAAGGCAGTATACGGCTTTATGTATCAGGTCCAGAGTCCTATGCGCAGTGCAGACGACCAGACACTCCTTACAAACAAGGCATTCATCCCAAACCGTTGGTCGGAGCATTTCCAGGCCCTCTTCAGTGTTAATCGCTCGGCCCAGTTCTCTGTATTCCCCAACAACCAGTAAAAATGGAATTGGATTAGTTGCCTACTACTGAAAAGATTATCAAGGCCATAAAGCAGCTGAAACGTGGCAAGACAGCAGGAGTCGATGGAATCCCACCTGAAATCTCGAAATATGGAGGTCTGGTGTTGCACCTGAGACTCCACGAACTCTTTTGCTATTGTTGGAAGCAGGGAAAATACTTCTTGGTTTAATATGCATGAAATAATAATTTTAAACCAGAAAAGCCCGTCTCAAAGGAAATAAGGTTACATACAGGCTTCTACAGAGTCCTACGCTAAAGTTATTGTTAGCGAAGTTCAAGACTCTGCAAATGAATGTCAGGCAAAAAAGGAAGCAAAAGATTTAAAGAATCTTTTACGTTTGATATCAGTTTCTAAAAAATCACTCCCATGAGTGACAAGAAAGAAGTATAACAAATGAGTTGTTCTACAAAAGTCAAATAGAACAGGTTTTAAAGCAGACTAGTCTGTTTTATTTGTTATACCTCTTTCCTTTCACTCAAAGAAGTGACTTTGAAACCGGTAACAAACAACTTCTTTAGAACTGCCTCATCCTCCTAATAAAGCAACTTCTAATCAGGTTTCTTATAATTGTAGAACACAGAAACTTGATTTCGAGGGGTTGAAACTCACTCGGGTCCAAGTGATGTGTTTTTCAGTCCCCTTTAGAAGCCACCTCGCACTAATGGCAGACGTAGTTGTTATCGTCATGTCATAAATGTAAGCTCTTATCGGAAGGTACCTCAGACCCTATCTGGTGACCGGCCCTCTGCATTATGTTTCTGTGGCTTTGATTAACATATTCATGATTAAGCAAAAATGGGTCGCTGAGATTGTACATCCCGTTATGATGCCCCTCTCCAATTTAGGCAATGCTGATACCGTTCTCATTTGTAAGTTGTTGTAATAGTCAGAAATTAGTTCGGTGATTTTATTAAGGACATGATGGCGTTGGAGAGCTTCTTCTACTAGTTTATGTGGAATTGATCCATAGGCGTTTTCAAGATCCAGCCACAAGACTATGTCTTTGCTTCTTTTAACAACTGCGAGACGACCTCAATGTGCTCCATAAATCCAGTATTCATGGTACTCCTTTTTGTACAGAGATATCGATGTACTCATTTTTAAGAAGGAACTCTGACAAGCGTCGATTCAATATATTAAAAAATAACTTGCCCTCCGTGTTCAACAGAGAGATTCATCTGAATTGGTTTACCCTTCTGGCTCCTTCCTCTTTAGGGATACCTTATTTTCTCTCTCCTCCAAATTACTTTCAATAACTTCTATAGCATGCGAAGAAGTTTCGAACAGCGTTTATAAACTATGTAAGGCATTCCATTTGGACCTGGTGTAGAGGCCGATCAGGCTGCTTTCATGACTGCATTGATTTCACACCAAGTTGGTTCTCTCAAGTCGAAAGGCGTTGATAGTACATTAGGTTTTATCAGGGACGTATTTTCTACAAGTTCCAGTTGTCTGTCTGGATCATTCAGAGTTTATTGGAGAAATGCATTTATTTCAGTAGGGGTACTCTCCAGATGAGCACTTCGGTTTTCCCCTAACAGCTTCTTTGTAAAGTTGAACGGGTTTCTGAGGAAGGCCATCCGTTTTTTCGCCCTTTCCTTCCTCCGTCGTCTATGCCATTTTGCTCTACGCAAAGACTTCATTTTTGAACGAATACCCGTAGGGGTTTCTCTATTTTATATTGTTTTCGAAGCGATTTTAACTCCGACCTAATTTATTTAATTTTTAATTCCCTCCTATTTTCTTTACTAATAACTTTTTTCCGCTCTTCGTATTCGAATTTTCCTGCTGCATAACTAGTAATGATTTTGGACATTGTCATTAAACGTTTATCCACCGAACCTCTCAATGATGTTCAAGGATCTCGCCGATGTCATTTAATCTTCCTTCGAAATGGAGTATCAGACTCCTCTTGAA